CCCTGTGTGCCAGGATGGGAAACGGATCTCTTCCCTACAAGGTTCAAGTTTTTGGCTATTTCTGACTATTTTTTCATGAAAAAAATAATCTTTCTGCAGATATCCACTCCTTCCAGAGAGCTACGGAGCTGGGCATCTCTCACACTCCCCGCGCAGGCGTTGGGGCCGGGTATTCACGCCAAGACCTCCTCAGGACTGCTCAGCACGTTGGGGTGCGTGTGGGACTGGGGGGGCCTTCGCCACCCCCTCCTCTATGGGCTCTCCCCATCCTTCCCTCGGACACGGCTTGTCCCCCGTGCAAAAAGGAAGCGAGCGACTCCACAGGGAGAGTGAGACTGTCCCCCTCGAAATGGGGTCCACCAGTGCTCGGCTGCCCTGAAGGTGTCCCGAAGCATCAGCTCCGCGTTGCAGGAGGACTTAGCGGCGCCTGGTTAAGCTGAGCCGAAAATCAAGAGCGAGAGCTGTCCCCGTGAGGAACCTGGTGGATGCCGGACCCTGGCGATGTCAGCTCGCTGTGGGAGGCAAGCGGGGTCCGGCGTCCCCCCAGTTACACAAACCAGAGTGCAGGCACCCATTCGAGGTCTCATTAAAAAGAAAATATAAAAATCCATATAAAACATATGCACCCATGTAAAACGTGCATCAGTATAAACCACATCCGTCGTTATAAAACATACACACCCATATAAAGCATATACATCCACATAAAACACACAAGCTCTGAGGAGCTTATAAATAGCCAGTAAAAAAAAAATAAAAATCTCTATTTCCCTCAAAAGCAGGGAGCAGGGAAGGGGTTTGCCGAAGGTCACCGGGGATGTCGGGGCAGCGTGGGACCCCGGCGCTGCGGGAGGGGAGAGGTGGAAGGCAGCGCTGAGAGCCGCGGGAAAGCACCAAGCGTATCCCGGAAAAACAGTATTTGCGATGTGTGACGACTCTGTAAAAAATGCCTAAACAGGATTAGAGGCTTTCATGGAAATTTATCTCTGAAGTAAGCCAGTAAGAGGCACATAAAAGCTTTCAGCCCTTTCTGAAAATAGTCCTTGAGCGGCTGCGTTTTGCTTGCCAGAGCTCCCAGAGATGCACGGGGACTCTTCGGGGAATTTCGAGCTCGCTGGTGAGCAGAGGCTGGCGCGGACAGCGCTGCCAGCTCCCCTCCTCTCTCCGCGCCCCCACGACGTGCCG